TTCAAGACAAATGTTGTGTAACACAGCAGTGGCCACAATCACTTCACATATTACTTCGGTTGACAAACTCATACCTACAGATAAGCAAGGAAAACGCCTTTTGAGCACCCCAAATAAACGTTCAACTGGATTTCTTGTTCGAATTTGAGAAAAATTATACCTTTGTTGAGCTACTGTTAGAATTTCTCCCAGTGGTGTTAGCAGGTACGTTCTACAGGGATAACCACCATCTCCAACAAGGTAATAAGGGACAAATTCTCCACCTTCAAATCGTGCCCTTATATTGGAATCATTGAATATGGTAGTATCGTGGACAGATCCAGGCCAACGAGAAACTATATCAGTTATTTTTAAGTTTGAGTTGCAGACAGCTTGAACATTAATACTGAAATACCCTTTTCGGTTTCTAAAGACTTCAGCTTGGTTTCCACCAGGGGACTTAATTTTTATGTGTGTGCAGTCTACGGCACCTATTACCCCTGGGAAGTTTGCAATTTGGTAAAAGCCTAATATTGTTCGTCGCTTCTCTTCATCAGTTTCAGGCATTTTAATAAAATTAGGACGCAAACGTACTATATCTCTGGTAACTTTTCGCACTATTCTGGATACGGTTGATTGGGACACATTGAAATGGTCCCCAATATTGATTTGAAAAGATCCTGTTGCATAAAAGCGTAGGCATATTAAAATTTGATTTAGCTTAGAAATTGGGTTATTTAGCCTATCTACTGGTTCAAACAAACCATGCAACATGTTAGATATTGACTCCACAGTATCTTTCTTCATCCTAAATCTTTTTTTAAAATCGACGTCATCCAATTCATTCATCAAATTATTTCGATGCTTCATAATTCTTGGCCGTCTAATTTCATCGTCACTATCTGAAGATGAACTCAATAAATTATTAAAATCAACTAAATTAATTCTTTCCATCCTATCAAGAAATTGTTAGTTTAATAACATCAAAGATGACAAATGACGTAACACTGTGTTATCAGTCTGTTAGCAGGTTTATTAGCCCGAATTCCCTCTGTTAACTTATCAGAGGATTTAATTGAGTGTTAATCCCTAACCATCATTGGTGAATACCAAAGAAAAACGTTAACAGACTGTTAAGAGTTAACTCTCTGATTAAGACAATGGTGAATACGGGTGTATAACAAGTATTCTGTGTCCCAGTCAGAATTGCGCCGACGCAGAGTTTTTAAACGCCTACTTTGTCATTTGTCACTTTGTCAGAGTTTTTGTTGATGTTTTGTTTAGGACAGAGACAAGTCGTTTTTATTATTTTTTTGCATTTTTTATATAATTTTATCGAGACTTTTAAACTTGAATCACGTTTGGTTTTGTGAAATAGTGTCTAGGCAACACTCGTAGGACCGTACGTACTTCCATATAATGGAGATTAAAAAGGTAATATAATATTACATCATGTTATTTATGTACCTATGTGTTGATTTAAAACGCGTACTGTTTTATTTTACAGATTATACCAGATGAATTTCCTACAATAATCAGAGATGTTAAGTCAAATGGTAGTCAAATAATTTATTTTAAGATTGAAGTCGATTGTGAAGCCAGTTCATTTGAAGCATGGAAAAAGCAGTTTGAAATTCTTACCAGTACAAATTACACAGTAAGTGTTATTTTTATATCAATATAAATCAGTATTTAAATCATTATCTTTGTTATGAAGGTTAGAAAAAATACTAGTAATGGACAGAAGTTTACAAGATTCCTTAGTGCAACATGCCACCATCAAACATATGGCACTTCCAGTTTAAAATTTGGTTCAAAAAATACTGGATGTCCATCTAAGCTTGTAATGAAAAATGTTAGGCCATTATTACATGGAACGAACAGTTTGACAGAAATTATAGTAAATTTTGACCATAATCATCCATTATCTGCAGCAGATGTATTACGATTTAGAAAACCAACTGTTCCTGTTAAAGAAAAATTTATGAACCTTTTTAAAAGTGGCCATACTCCTTCTGCTATACAGGCAAACACATTTGATGTGATTTTAGAAAATGCTGAAAATTATGAAGCTTTGCTTGCTGACAATAGCATATGTCCTAATTATCAGTGGGTCTCTAGGTTACACAGGAAACATTCAGAATCAAACTATGGTAGTCGTGATATGACCCTTTTGGAACAGGCTGATTTGATTATTAAACTTGCAAATGAAAAAGATTGTTATGCAAAAATGATAGTAGAAGGAGATCAGGTATGTACTATTTACACATAAATATAAAAGTGAACTACTTTTATTTAAACTGTCAACAATTTATGCAAACTCAGAGCAGAAGTGTTTTTTGTTTTTAATGGTATTAACAGAAAATCTACCAGAACCAGCCAGGCTATTGTTAGGGATTATTCTTAAGTGTTCTGTGTGAGCTTTGTTAATGTTTCCCAGCGCCATTGCAGGGCCAGGATTATTCATTCAATCCTAATAGTAAATATTCTAGTGGGGAATCAATCACACCTATGCTATGAAAATAAGTTTTGATTTAAAAAAATCTCTTAACAGGTGGAATTCGAACCCATAACACTTTGATTGCTAACCTTAGATTCTACCACCTAAGGCCAGTATTTATAAAACATTAGGTGAGTCATCATTGAACAAAAATCAAAGTTTGGTTATATTGTGTGAATTTAGACATGGGTAGTAACAAATCCATAAATGTACTTAATAGTTACGGATTTGCTACTGTCTATCTCTACATTCCAGTGCAACACCGGAACCACCTGAAACTCTAGAGAAGTTATAATCGAACTATGATTTTTTGTTCAAGGACGACTCAGCAAAGTTAGGCACAGTTGAGATCTCCCTGAACAGAAGTGTATACAAGTATACATTATTAATAAAATTTATTAAGATTTTAAATTCAATTTTAGGTTGCAATAATACTTATCACAAAAATGATGGCACGAATTTCCCAAATGGAAGAATCTGCTGATATTTGCTTTGTTGATTCAAGTGGTGGAGTGGATAAGGATGGCACAAGATTTTTTGTATTTTTAAGCAAATGCAGTGCTGGAGGTGTTCCTTTGGGTGTTATTTTAACAAGTTCAGAATGTGAAAGTCTATTAACTGCAGCCTTTCAAATATTTCAGGTATAATTTTTTAAATATTTCTAACTAGTAGTAGGCCATGTACAATTTCTCATTATACACAATATTAGTGGGACACAATAATGGTTCCACTGAGAGTTAACTTCTAAACAAACTTTTCATAAAAACATTAAATTGGACATATACGCTTTTACTCTTTTTATTCTTAATATTGTTTGCAGGCCATAAACAATAGTTTGAAGGTATGTAATTGGTAACTAAAAGATTATATACTTCTTGAATGTTATCTAATTACTCCAGCAATATATTTTAAAAAGGTTTTTAACTATATATTTATTTATATATATATTATATATAAGTAATTTAGGTAAACAAAACGCTCTTAAAAAGTATACTGTAATTGTCAGTGGAACCATAATTATATCATCATTAAATTAGTGTATTCTCAATAAACCTTTTCTGACTGACACACTAACAATACATAATTGTTGTACACAGTGAAATTTACGTTGGGAAAAATGGCGAAGCTAACCTAACCTAACTTTTTCATTAGGGTTTGATTGTTATTGTAAATCATACATTTAATATTCATATTTTTTCATTAAATAAATATCTAATAACTACTTCAACCAAACAAAATGTATCCATTTTTTAGCAAATGCTACCTTCTGATAGTTTTGGTGGAAGATCAAATATATGTGGGCCAAAAATAATTATGATGGATGATTGCACTGGGGAAAGAAATGCATTAAGAAAAACGTGGCCCAGTACTGTCTTGCTTCTTTGCATTTTTCACGTATTGCAGGTAAATTTGTTTTTAAGCAATTAACAATTTTAAATGAAAGATACATTTAAAAAAGTGATGGTTGAAAAAAATGTTATACATCATACGACATGAAATAATTATTACTGGATTCACATAGTTCCAGGGCTCCCCTGTGGTTCATTATGAAAACTGTCCACTCGTTCAGTAGTATCATTTTTTCTGATTAGTAATGTAAAGTACTATTATTTATCTTTGAAATAATTAACTAATACATTTAAATACATATTTAGGCATTGTGGAGATGGTTATTTAATGGAAAGCATAATATCCACTTAGGTGACCGTAGTCATCTGTTTGCTTTAATAAGAAATATGCTGTATGCAAATCAAGAATCTGATATGGATAATTTATATATATTGCTTAAGAATGATGCTGTTGCAATGAAATATCCAAATTTTTTAAATTATGTTTCATCATATTATGAAAGAAGAATGGAATGGGCCCTGTGTTACAGAAAAAACTTATTTGTTAGAGGGAATAACACTAACAATATATGCGAATCAGCAATGATGGTTATGAAGGAATATATACTTCAAAGGGTTAAAGCATTCAATATGGTTCATGTATGTCTTGCATTAGTAATTATTTGTATTGTGAATTACATATGTTCTTATTTTGCAGTTAGCTGATTTTGTAATTAGTCGTTTTGATTTGTACTTTGAACAAAAAATATTAAATTGTACCTTTAACAGATTATCAAATCAATTGTTGTTTAAACAGAGTAACTTGCAGAGGAATGTTGATTATGCTGTGAACATAGTTGAGGTATGTATGTTAATTTAAGTGATCTGTATAATCTAATTATTTTTAATAAATAATTCAATCAAAATTTGTTTTAGATTGCAAGTAATATATTTTCCGTTCCCAGTGAAAAAGACAAAAATAAAAGCTATATTGTAAATGGGTCATTCTCAAAAAAAGAGGGAAAATTACTTCTGACCACATCTTTTAAATATTTTGCTAAATTAAGTAACCAATTTCTGGCCAAAGGATTCATTTTAATTGCTCTTTTTGTACCAATAATACATTTTGAAAAAAAAAAACCACACTTAAAATATATATATAAAATTTCGAAAAAAAAACATTACCATGTCATGTCATATTACAATTTCACAAGAAGAACTGAATTTTTTCCATGAAAAAAATTGTTTTTGAACAATACAATTAAAACTTCAAATAAGCATCAAATGATTATCATCTCTTAACTTTTTTAGTTGATATGCATGGTTGGTTTACTATCATACTTTAATATAAAGTATGTAACCAAAAATTTTGCTCATTACCATGTCACTTCCTAATTTAAAACAACCGGCATCATTGTAAAGAATTTTAGAGTCGTTTTATCCACCAGTCGATTCTCCTTAAACAATATTTTACCACCCCAACTAGAATTATCAAGTCAGTGTTAATATAGCTACACAGCAAGTCGGATTACGTGAATTTCGTCTGGCTGTAACTCGATTCAGGACATTACCGTGTGTGTTAAAAATTTCGTTTCGTGTTTTTTTTTTTAAACTTTAAACTGTCAATTAGTGTAGTGTTATAACACGATAAGGTAAGGATAAATAATTACTTTATTTGCTTTTAATAATCTAAGGTTATGTAAATGTTTTGCTCATTACCGTGTCAAAAATGCCTGACATTACCATGCCTGTTTATTATCACGGTAATGTCTGTACGACACGGTAATGTTAAATAATTAATGGATACATGGGGTGGATTTATAACTCTGTACCTTAGTATCAAAAGGTCTGATGCCCATTTAGCAACTTTATAGGTGAGCGAAAAAACTGATTGTGTTCATTATTTGATTCCAAACCCAGGTGGACAACCGTGCATTTACATAAGCCATTACCGTGTTATTAATAAATTAAGGACTACCGATCTTATACCAAACAATGTAACACTTAACGGCAAATACATCAACCCAAATAACTTATTTTGTGAAAAAATGGACATCAGACCTTTTGATACTAAAGTACATAACTGTTTCGAAACGACCTTGCAAGTAAATATAGCCGCGAATCTAACTTGATAGAAAATTTCGGTACAGCAAAAATCTTTTTTTTAATTTATTAATTTTTATACAATTTAATTTACTCACAACTTATTTTTAGATGCCAGATTTGAGAGTAAAAATGCAGAAGGCTAAATTAGATAAGAAGAATAAGAATAAAATTTTACAAATAAAAAAGGAAAGAGAAAGATTTAGAAGGCAGAAAATTAAAAATAACCCAGAAGAATATGCCAAACAAAAACAAAAAGAACGTGAGCGCTATCAAAAAAGAAAGAGTGAAGGAAAAATCAAGCTAATAGGCGAAATGAGTGAGAGAGAAAAGCGGAACAAGAGAAAATCTTGGATAAAGAATAATAGAACCAACCGGGAAAAGAAAAAAGAAATAAATTAGCTCCAACATAATATTATGTGTGACACGTCCACCCCAACAAAAATTAGTTTTAATGAAGAGCAGATCGCAGACATTGATATCAGACAAAACGAAGAAAAGTTGCGGAAACGAATAACGCGTCTAAAAGTACGGGCATACTAGTTTACGACACGATGCCAAAGCAATTGCGGCCCACTTGATTAAAATAATTCATCATTTTTCCCAATATTCCATTGACACATTATATTTTCTGTCCGACAGAATACCAAAACAAAACAATGTTCTGTATAATGGGTAAGTACCTTCCTGAGAAATTTAAAAATATAAATAAAATTTGTTGGTTTTATTCTGAAGCGGGCCATGGAAAAGGGGCCCTTGATGGAGTTGGGGCCACCCTTAAACGTACTGCCGATCGTTTGGTGGCAGAAAATCATGATATTCCAACTTACGACGCATTTTTTAAAGTTATTTAGAAAATGTATCGAATATTCTTATTGATACTGTAGATGAATCAGATATCATCAAAGTAGAAAATGAAATTATAGAGAATCTGGATACTTTTAAAGGTACCATGCAAGTCCACAATGTAACTTGGTGCAGAGAGTATAACGTTTTATATTTTAACAGTTTAACATGTATCTCATGCAATATTGGCGAATCATGTAGCCACTTTTATCTTGGGCATATAAAAATGCACAATTCGTCGACTCCTCCAACTTCTGGTCAAGATATCGGTATAGAAACCCAAAGTTCTAAAAGTACAGTTATGCCCACTGACAAATATATCGACATGACTGGTCAGTCTCTCCTGAAAACAGTTAAATGTTCAGAATCGGATGTTAAACCGAATGACTGGATAGCAGTTTTCTTCACCAACTTTTGGTATCCAGGTAAAATAGTTTGTTCTTGTATTTTATAATATGGGTATTCTAATTTGTACCGATTTTTAGGTTTGGTTTTGGCAAATCTGTGAAAATAGATTTCATGGACAGAAGAGGAGAAGTTTTTTTTGGCCGGAAAAAAGAGACATCCAGACAATTCGTGCAGCAGAAATTTTATATAAACTCTCCAAGCCACCGGTTCCAAGTTCTGCTGGGCTCTTTTTTGTTCCGGAGGATATGACTTAATTTCATTACTCAGTTTTTATATAAAAATATTTGAAAAATAATACATTTTTATCTATTTTTAAGTGTCTCGTTCGAAGTTTTTAACGTTATTTTTTTTTTTTTCATGGTTTAAAATATTTTTTTTCTATGTGAACTACGTTTAATCTTCATGTTTTTAATAAAGAAAGAGTAGTTTTTGAATATTTTTTGTTTATTTTCACTCCCTAACATTACCATGAAAGTAAATTAAACATTTCCATTTCTTTTGACATTACCGTGACAACCAAATTTCATTACCATGTCATTTTTTTGTAATTTTTCCGAAAAAAACTAAAAATATGGGGGGTACATATTACAGATTTTACTAACCTAAAATATTATATAAGCCTACGCAATAATATTTTTGGATACATGAGTATTTAGATGTGACGCAAAATATCATGGAATTTTCCTTATTTCTAAAGAATGACCCAAATATGGATATAGCCATTTGTGAATGTTTTATGGGAAGTGATGGGCGTTTATGCAAACACCAAATAGCAGTTGAAAAGTTTATGGGTGTAACTAACAGGAATATTTTACCGATAAATGACCCACACAAGAAACAGCATCTATATTACATTGCAACAGGAAAGAAAATGGATTTGACATTTTTTTTCTCTTTACGGGACAAAGTGGGTATCTATTTGTATCATTTTTAAATTGTGTCTTATCTTCTCTCATTGTTATTAGGATCATAAAATGGATGACCAAAAAAGTGAAAGTGGTACAAATTTAGACCTGGATATTTCTCTGGTTGAAAGTGATGATGATGATAATAATAAAATAGAAGTTAATATGAGCTTGATAGATTTGCCCAAAGAAGAGGTAGAAATTCTGAGAATTTATTAAATTAGTCTTCTTTTATTTTATATTTTTAGGAAATAAACAACACAGAACTTGAATTAGAAAAAATTTTTAAAGACCTTGCTGAAAAGTTAAAATCAAAGAGTGATTTGTATCTACCAGCTATACAAAAATTTACATCAAAATATAAGACTTTCAATAGTGATTCGAATATTGTATCATCACTGCATAATTTTGGATCAACTTTAAATGGTATAGATATTCAAATTAATTAATTAAATTTTTTATTATCAATATATTTGCACAGAACGCAGCCAATCAACGAGCATTTACGCAGTTAGACGAAGGGGAAAAAAGATCAGAGTTCAGCCAACTGCTATTTCAAGACGCCACCAAATTGCATTAGGAAAAGGAAGCACATCAAATTCTAACTCTGGGCGTCCTCGCAGAAGAAAGGTTTTTGATGAGCACAAATATGCAGCTACTCGACTAACAAAAAAAGCACCTCATAACTTAAGTGCATGTGTTCAAGCCAATCGATCCCTAGGAAAACCCCATTAAAATTATTTACAAATATTGTTTAATACTTAAATTATGTTAGCTTATACAAATCTTATTATACTTATGTTTAGTACTCAAAAAAACCTTACTTTACACTAAATAATTTTGACATTCTGTACGCCCATGATATTCATAATTATACAGAAATTTTTTTATAGTATAGGCAAAAAGAAATAATTTTACATTTTCAAAATTCCTTCATTCAATTTATCGCAAATAATATTATGTACATAAAAATGTTTAACTTATTTCTACGATATAACTATAAAATTTCCTACCATGCTAGGCTAATTTTTAATTAAATAGATTTAATTTTACTATTTCAAGATTCGAGAGTGATTGATCAGATGACCATTATGAAAAGTTTTGGTAATTATATTATGTAATTACAATTAAAAATAAAAAACAATCTAAAATCAGTAGAAAGGAAATTTATCTGGGCATTTTTTGATTAATTACTTTTTTTTATGTTAATGATTTTTGGGCCGAAGAATAGAAATGAGTTTTGGGTCGTTGTTTTACAGAAAAATTCAACAATATTTAAAATTAATTTTGACTGAGTATCTCTAGTTTGCTGTATTTGTGTATACGTTTTTTGTTCATGAAATACTCTTATTAAACATTGATAAATGTATATTAATCGGATATTTAGCATACTGGTTTCTTAGTGGAGAATAATCTATCTTTCTTAAATATTATTTTTAGGATTACATTTTAAGCAATTTGTAAATTATTTAATGCACAAGTTGTGCCTCATGCTGGGATACAGTATCTTATAACAGATTACACTAGAGGTGTATAACATAAATAATTTTTTTTGATGCAAAATGTGCAATTCGTTGAATTTATGCATTATATAAAGTCATAATCGTCTAATAACATATCTCGACTATTTTGATGATTAGACAACACTGTATAGTCATAAATTCGAGACATCCATCGGTTTTTATAATAAAAAAAACCTATATCAACTTACCTATAAATATTTAAATTACCAGAGTATAATATGCAATTGTAAATCTTTCATTTAAAGTTAATATGTAGTGTATTTGGCTAGAATATATTTTTACTGTTTTCAAAACTTTATTGTTAAGGAACTCGAACAACCTCTTTGAATTCCGTTAAAACAGTTTACTCAACTTATGTTAGATCATTATTGGAATATGTGTAGCTAGTTTGGCCTCAATTTTATAATGTACATAGGTCATTAGGGTCTGTTAAATGCAAATTTTGTGTATTCAGATTAGGTTTAGTATTTGGTAACTATGATTTTGTTTCATTATACTTATTGGATCTTGAATGTCTAGAATTTTTAAGTTGTACAGTAGATTTATTTTAGCATAAAGTAATTTTAGGAACTATTCATTATTGTGAATTTTTAGAAACTATTCAAGTTAGAGTATCAGTAAGATAATACTTTTCTAAACGATTTATTTTTCATTCCATTTCACAGAACTAATCGCTTATTTTGTCCTCTAACGCCTTTTAATAATTTAGAAAATCTGAAAAAATAGAATATATAGTCGGTATACAAGAGAAGGTGACCAAGTCCATCGATAGTAGTTTTGAGTTCTTAGAATTTTAATGATTTGGTCATTATGGAATTTTTAATTTTAAGCATTTTTATCGCAAATAATTTAAGGTACATGGGCATTATAAACTAAAAAAATGTAAAATTTTGGACTTTGTCACCTTTTTTTGTATACCGACGATATTTAAAAACAAAAATGGTCACATTTAACCAGTTGAATAAGCTCTATATATTCTCTCTTGATATTTAATAATGGTGTTTGTTTGGGCAAGTTTTTAAAGTCAACATAACAATAATGGATTAAATCTATTGTGACGTCACTGATGAATGTGATGGAATGGCGATTGAGAGTTTTCAGATGAATAAAAAAAACCGTTGACAAGCAACGACAAATATATCTCTACAGAGGATATACTTAGTCAAAGTTTTTTAACCACACCACAGCTACTATAAAATTTTGGTTTTTCATAAATTTTTCTTATTTGGACATCATCTTCCTCTGATGAAGAACTTGATAACTGTACACTTCTCGATTGATTAATTTGAATAAAATAAGTGCCTCCATAACTCAAAGAAATAAAATAATCTATTTATCATTTTAAATTTCAATTTCAATTTTAAAAACCTCTAACCTCACAATAGTGACACAAAACAAAAAGGTGGGGATATCCATCCACATCCATCACATTCATCGGGTTCAATCTTGATGGATGCGTTGAACATCGATTTTTTCAACAATGAAAATACAAACGGTTTGATGAAAGTTTAAAATGAAAATTGCAAATTAATGTATTCTTTTAAATTATTTTTGTATATTTTTTATTGCAATGAGAATTTTACTCTTCAGTAACTAAAAAAAATATATTAAGAATACCATAATGTACAAGGCCCGAAATAACCCCCTCTTTTAACGTTTTTCCTGGTACAAATAAAAGTTAAATATAAAAGTTGTTTCATTTCAAGTAAATTTTTATTTGGTAAACTCTTTTTGTTTATACAGGGTGATCTAATTTTTCTTTTCCTCTATTTATTAAATGGGGCATATTTTTAGTGTTTTCTAAAATATAGAATTGACTATGTGCTGGTTAATATATCTCAAATATTGATGTTTGAGGACTAAGAAAGTTTGAATGGTGGACTCTGTACTATATTAATATTATATTAATAACAAATATAATTTAATAATGCTTTAATGGTTATATTTTTTACAATGCTTTATTTTATTGGAATTGTTTGAAAATGTTTTTTTACATGTGTAACAATTAAATCGGACACCTTCGTGAATATTGTGGTGTGCTATAAGGTCAGCACGACAGACAAATGTTTTCTGACAAATGGGACATGAGTATACCTTCTCCTTCAAATGGACGAACCTTCTGTGTTTATGTAGACATTCCGGAGTTTTAAAAATCTTTCCACAATTTCCACATTCATTTTGACTGTCGCAAAATTTATTATGGTAACGTAAGCGAAACGCTGCTTTGAAGACACGTCCACAAGTGCTGCATATAAACTAAAAAAAATATCATTAAACTTAAGTAGATGCAAATTTATTTAAATAGGACCTTCATATTCTAAAATCGATTAATATGTTAAGCAATATCCCCACAGGTATGTGCCAAGCTGATAGGTACTTAATAAATTAATATAAATATTGTTCAAAAATCCTACTTAGGTCTACCATTAATACCAACTTATCCATGATCTAAAGGCATTACAAATAATAAAATAAACCTTTATGATAAAATACTATACAAAACCACACACCTAAACCAACAATCGATATTAGATAAAACCAAACCAACCAAGAAATACATAAATAATTTATTAAAAACGGGTTACTTTATGTTGCCAATAATTTAAATAAAATACATTTATACATAAATTGTGAAACAACATAAAAGTTACCCTTAAGAAATTAAAGTAATTATGCAAGCAAAATTAAAAATAAGCATAAGCTCATAAAAATAATGTTTAATAAAAACCTTCGTAATTGCCACAACATTAAGCAAACCTATATTTGTAACCAACCTTTTTACTACATATAGATGATGGCTTTATCTCCTGATTAAATTTGTTGGAATTTCATTGAATAATCTGATAAAAAATATAAAGAACCATGAATACATTTTGTAATTTTTCAGTTCTATAATTATTTATTAATACATAAAATACTTACTGCATTGCTATTTTCTTCACTTTTATTATTTGGTTTAACAGCAGTTGACATTGTAGCATATTCCTAAAATAATAAAATGTAGGCAATAATGTGCAGATAAACAATGATGTGTATGTCTAATAAAAGTATGTTTTGGATAAGAAATTATAATGGATTCATAAATAGTTTATAACCAACACCATCTACAAATATAATTAGAACAAAAATAACAAAATCTAATTTATTTTGTGGAATTTGTGGTTGTCTTGTCAACTCGAACTGAGCGCCAACTGAACGTAGTTTATAAATCCAGCTTAAAAGGTGTTCATTATTATTAACTTACTTTTTTTTCAACAACGTTTAACAAATTCCATTCTTTCGCAGCCCTCGAGGATTTTTCACCAAAACTCAATTGAGAGTTCTCTTCTTTCTACAAAATTAATTAAATACTGAACAGTTTTTTTACTTATTTACCTACACTTACCTTAGAAAAGTGAGAAAGATAAACAGCGAAGCTATTATTTTTCTGCATTTTTAACAACTTATTTTCAATAACTGGTAAAACAATATATCTAAGATAAAAAAAAATATAATTATGAGATCGATGAGGTCTTTGCCCTAGAAAAATAAAAAGGTCTTTGCTTAGCCACTTTCACATATAATAACCAAACGCAAAGATTACAATCGTCACATAAAGATAGGTTAGGAACAGAATAATAAGGTTAGGTATGGCATGGCCCTAAACGAAACGCGCAAACGCAGTAGTTCAGGACTCGGCAAGCGGTAGGACTCGGGAGGATGGTTAAGAAAAAAATATCTGCTCGCCGCCAAGCGCAAACCAGCACCTAACCTAACCCAACTTTTTCATTACTTTGTGTTTGCAATTTGCAATGTTTATGTTTGTATTGTTTGTTGTTTGCTCTGTTACCTCAGTTCAAGTTCACAGTTATCTGAGTAACTGCCGACTGCCGCCTGTGTTGATAAATAATCCCATCCAAAGACCAAAAGTAATTGCATTTTAATATTTAAGATCTCTTTGTTTAAAAATAATTTATATTTTTTTAGTGCCTAATTACACACAAAAATATAGAGGTGAGTGGGAAAAGCTGCCAGAAATGAAAGGTTGGCTACAACCATGCACTACAGACTACACCAAAGCGTACTGCAAGTACTGTAAATGTTTTATCAACGCCAGGCTTGGTGATATTAAAAAACATAATATAAGTTTAAAGCACAAAGCAGCTGAGAAGCCCTTTTCATGTCCAAGGCAGCAGAAATTAAACTTTGAGCCCAATAATAAAGGTGTTACCACTCAGCAAAGGAAAGAAGGTGATATTTGTCTATTCGTAGCTGCTCACACGTCTATAAATGCCATCGATCACTTGTGTGAAATTAATAATGTTCCTGTTCATCGAACTAAATGTACAAATTTAATAAAAAATGTTGTGGGTCCCCATTTTATGAAAGACTTACTGTTTGATGTAGGAGCTAACCCATATAGTCTAATTATAGATGAATCAACGGACGTTGCAGTTTTAAAAATGTTAGGAATTGTTATTAGGTATTTTAGTACCAAACATTCAAAAATAGTCAGTAAGTTCTTGTCACTCATAAACATTGAAAATGGAACGGCAGAGTGCATTGTTGAGGCTATAAAGCAGCTGCTTACAAAACTTAAATTAAATGTACAGAATTTGCAGGGTATAGGTACTGATAATGCTTCAGTAATGATAGGAATTACAAACGGTGTTTATGCAAAGCTGAAAGAGGAAGTTCCGCATTTGGTTTTAGTGCGTTGCGTTTGCCACTCGTTACAACTAGCAGTTTCCTGTGCTTCAGAAAAGACTTTGCCCAGAAATATTGAATTCCTGATCAAAGAGACATACAATTGGTTTAGTCACAGTTCGATTCGACAGCTTTCTTATAAACAAATTTATTCTTTGATAAATAAGCGAGGAACCATTAAAGATTTTACAGATGGCAGCAACAAGATGGATTTCCATCGAACCAGCCCTTAAACGAATATTGGAACAGTGGGATAGCTTGAAAGCACATTTTGATATCGTTCGTTTGAAGGACAATTGTTACACAGCTGAAATGTTGTATTCTATGTACAAAGATCTCAACAATAAGGTATATTTAGAATTTATATATTCCATTGTTAATTTAGTACAGGCAACAAATAAAAGCTTTGAGGCATCAAATGCTGATGTTACAAAATTGTTCAATAATTTAAATCACCTATATTTATCTATTATAAAGAAAATTGTCATCCCAAATGCAAATATTCATATTTCTTCTAGAGTAGATGACTTTGAAAACCACTTAGACCCTAATCCTTACTTGGGATATGCCTTTGAAAACTCTTGTCGCGACTGCCATTTAGATCAAGACAGTAAAGAAATGATAAAGGGTCGCTGCATTTCGTTTCTAATTGAATTGGCGAAACAGCTGAGACAGAGGTTACCGGAAAATATAAAAATTTTAAACAAAATGCAATATTTTTCAGTAACGGAGTGCTTGAAACCAAATAAAATTCCTATCACAGACATAGCCACTCAGTTTTATGATGATGCCCAGATAGTATCAAAAATTGAAAACGAATGGGCTAGTCTACATTTGATAAACTGGGCTGAAACACAAAGTACAGAGCAGTTTTGGATAGAAGTAAATAATTATAGGGATGCATCAAATGAAAATCCTTTTCAAAATCTAGTCAATCTTGCTTTAAGGATCCTTTGCTTACCTCATTCAAATGCAGATGTCGAAAGAGTTTTTAGTTCGGTGAGTATTGTCAAAAATAAAATCCGCAACCGAATGAAACTAAACCTATTGAACAATATTTTAAGTATTAAGTTTGGTATGAAAAGAATGGGGAAATGTTGCAATACTTATAAATTGCCAGATGAGATTTTGATCATGTCGTTTGACTCAAATGCAGCATACAAAAACAACGATGATGAGGCAGATCAAGGAATGCAGGTTGAGATTGATAACATTTTGCAATCCTTAACTAATTAAGTAATACCAAAGATAATTAAGTATATATTTTTGTTTTCGTTTTTTAAGAATTTGTAATAATTTTTATTATTATAATATCCTTAGTAGGATAAGAATAAGAAATGTCTTGTTTTTTTGTGAACAATTGTGTTTTTTCAATAAATATTTTAATATTTTGTTTTGTGTCCAATTTATATTTGTTTATTCAAAACAATCTTTGTTCCAAAAGAAATATTACTTTTTTATTGAATTTATGGTGGGTCAAGAGGTTGTCTGGTAAGTTGTAATGGTGAATGTTGAAGCATACAGATGACGTCAGAAAAGTTATCAGGCAACTAGCCTGGTTTTGAAACAACCTCGATGATGGGTGTATTTTGAACCTAACATTTGGTGAAATCTGGTGAATTTTAAGATTAAGTTTTGAGAATCCTGAAATTGTACAGTTGGCAACACTGTTCATTATAATACAATTAGTTGATATGAATAATAAAATAAGCAACTTCAAAGAAAAAAAATACTTTCAAAAATATTCAAAGCAATGGGAAAAAGATGAAAAGTTGAAAGGTTAGTTTTTTATATTTTAAAAGCATTTTTAATAAACTTGAATATGTACTGTTTAGGTACATTTTTGAAAAGTTCTTTTTATTAAAAACACTTATTTTTAATATTGTTTTAGATTGGTTATCTCCTGATCCTACCGGTGATTGTAAAAAAGCATTTTGTAAATATTGTCGTAGTATTTTGGTAGCACATAAAAAAGATTTA